CAAAGAGCCGACCATCACGGTAAAAAAGGTAGTTCGGTCTTTGTCGTGACCCTTAGAACCCAAAGCTGGGAAAAAAATCATTGACAGCAAAAGCGTCATTTTTCCCCCAATGTTTGGCGATTTCAGGAAAAACACTTCAGCCATGGATGAGACTCGAACCCGTACTTGGGCCAAGCACCGTGCTCTTATCCCTTATACTACAAGACCCCGCTTGCCCTCGAAATCTAAATGGCTTATATGGTGGCTTAAAACATTTTTTTTTCGAAGTTTCATTTTACGAGCATCATTGGGATTTTTTCCTTCCTCCTTCTTCTTCCCAGCGACACTCCACCATTGGTGTCATTCTTCTCCACTTCCTACTATCTACGACAACTTCTGCCGTTACCTTCTGACGAAGTCCTTCCTGATCAAGTCTCGCCACCTTTTCTTTGAGGCTCCTCTTGGTCGCTATCGCTCCCCTCGAGCCTCCAACTTTTTTTCCCTCTTCAAATGAATTGTGACTAGTTTCCTTCTTTCTGCGAGCCCAACTCCTCTCATCTGTTTCACATTTCCTCAGATTTGATGATCAATACCAGTTGAACACGTGGTTCATGCCATTCAAGCGCAATAAACAAGTAATACATCCAGTCCGATTAACAAATTATTTAGAAAGCCAATGGGATACTCTACTAAAATCAGTGGACACATGGTGCCCCTTCTATCAGAGCCAGCTCCATGAACCGATGTGGCATACTTGCTGTCAGGTTTTCGAAGACTGCAGTATCGATGCTTTTCTAAGCATCCATTAGTTCGATTTTGAGTTCATTGATTGTGGAAGACGATCTGCAGCTTCTGTGAACTCGTCAAGCAGTTGGACCAGTGGAATTTTCATAAGGTTGAGATCAGGACTATACACAAGCTAGTCCAGTCGACTCCTGCCATTAGAATCACATTTGAGCTGACTAGGGAAAACAAAGGTAGTTCCCGTGACAAATCGGCCGAAAAAATGGCAATGAAATCGACTCTAAAGCTACTCGATACTCTCCAGAATCCATTCGACAAGGGATATTGCTACCTATTGCTTTTTGTCCTAACAATAAGCTTTCCGAAACATTAGCATACGACCACAGAAGTTACGACGACTGAATTTCCTCTGGCTCCTCTCTCGGATTTCGTCAGTGGCATCCTCATCCTTCAGCCTTTACGCACTGAACTTCTTCTCGCCTCAAAGGATACTTTAATACATGGAACGAATTAGCAGCACAAAAGAAATGGCCAGTTTCAGAGGAACACCTGGTTCCAATGCGGTGCCCCGTTTTTTTCGAGCATATTAGATGCGAGCTGATTGGAGATGCCCCTTCGTAACTTCTCTCACAACGTTCCTGTTACGTTTGATACAAATCCAGGTGTCGATCCCGAGTAGGGTGGTTCACGTCTGCTTGAATCCTGCACTGCGACGACTGCTTTTCTTACTTCCAAATTTACCTTTTATCAGTGCATAGCTTGGGCTTTCGTTCGGTGGCTCAACGGTGTTGTGCGTTTAGGATCTTTGGGGTGAGAACAAATTAGACAGGGTAGCTGTCGATTTGTTTGGGAAGTCAATAGCTGAGTCTGGAATCGTGTAGAGCCCGCATTGAAGTTTTTCTTTCGTAGATTGACGAGGACCAGGCAATATCGCAACAATTCATGCCAGCATTGATTTTTCTAGGCACATATACTCATTGGGACAGGACGAATCATTCGGATCGGCCCTAGGTGCAGAAGTGAGGGTGGGAAGAGGGGGAGGGGGGGGGGCGAATCAAATTCGGACTAGAACTTATCATCTTTGGAGGCATGGAAGACATTGTTTTAATGCGTAACGGATCTGTACTTGTACATATGCTGCATGTCAGAGCTCTGAGCGATTTTTTGAAAAAAGGGAATGAACTCATAGTATAAACGCACTGTTTTTTTTTCTCAAACTGATTTTTCTCGAATATTACCTAGTATTTCTCTTCTTTGGTCCAATCTTTTGACACTTTTAAGATCCCATAGAAATATTCGGCATACTGTCTAATGGAGTACCAATACTGAACGGATTAAGATTAGATGATGTGGAAAGGAGGACTCAGTTTGAAGGGGGTGAATGTAAAAGTTTCCAAGAAGAACGAACTACATCCCTTCTTTAGTATTCTCAAAGCCAGCACAATTTTATTTCTTTAAAAACGCGAATCACTGTGTAGTAGATGTAATATGTTTTCATATTTGAAGGCACCAGTCCACAATAGTAATGGTTTCTGAAATTTACCCTGGGATGAATTCGTAGATCCCATGAATTACGCGTGGGATATGGTCGGGACGAGAAATGAGTTCGACAGGGCAGTATGGAGGCTCCAGAAATGACTTAGTAGACGTACACGCCTAAAGGCGGACGAGTTTCCACAGCGTTGTAGAGACTGTAGGGGTTACACTATTTGCACCGAAAAGCACACGTTGCACGCAAGCAGATTACTGTAGCCAGCTGCACCCAATGACACCCACCTTAAGACAGCTCGTCCAAATACTTCTTTCATGCAAATTTTTCCTCACATTTTCATCCAAAAATTAATTTTACTACTTTTCTGGAGCCTTAAATTTTTCCAAATAATTATTTACCAAATTAATTAATTACTGAGTTACTCGTTTTCTTTTTTCACCACTTTTGCCAATATTGGACTGTCGCTTCCATTATTCATCTCCAACAAATGTCCGAAAATTGTCGTGAACTGTGCTTTTTCGATAGTNAGCCTTAAATTTTTCCAAATAATTATTTACCAAATTAATTCATTACTGAGTTACTCGTTTTCTTTTTTTCATCACTTTCGCCAATACTGGACTGTCGCTTCCATTATTCATCTCCAACAAATGTCCGAAAATTGTCGTGAACTGTGCTTTTTCGATAGTAAAAGTTCAGTCAAAAACGAATCCAATTCAGGAACTCTATCCTACTTTAACAATAATTTGTAGAAAATGTGTTGGAATACTTTTACCTCCTCTTTAGTGACTCTTGATGAGTATGTATGACAACTACAAGACCTATGTATTTATATATCGAAAAATATTTTTGAATATTTTTTAAAGTGAGCACCACCCATTAGCGATTCCTCATTTTGGACAAAAAGAAACTTGGGCAAAACCTAATAACTCCAACATGATTCATTACTATCACTTACCGAGCTATCACCCTACCATTAATCTTACACTCTAATTAATCAACATAATTATGTTCTTGAATACTCCCACAAATTATAAAAATGGTGACATTGAAGTCAATAAATAATTCAAAAAACTGAATAAATAGACCGACCTCATCTGTTATAAACGGGCTGGCGAACGAGTCTTCGTTTGCGAGGACAGCTCTTTCGTTTGGGATATAGTCTTTTTGATCTCTTTTTGATCCTAAAATTTTACACTTCTGTAATTTTTTAGTAAAAAGGAGCAAGTTGTGATAGGAAACTTCCGGGCGAATCGAGTTGGAAACCGTTGAAGCATAATTTCTACAAGATTCATCAGCCTTATTCCCCTATTTATCGTATTACCATTCATTTGTATGATTAGTAAAGCTTTTTAGACTATAATTCAAATAAAAAATAGAACAAGAAAGTAATGAAGAATAAATGAGATAAACCCCCAATGGCTGTGATAATCAATGAACCGAGCAGATTGATTGATTGGGTAATGATTGAAGGTGGTCAACCGATGGAACGTCCTGGGTGTAAGGAAGTGATCAGTATCTAGTCAGTCCCTGGCAGATAGAAAGGAGTTGGCTGGGTGCTTAAGCTTGGTCAGTACTTATAAAGTAAGTCCACTGTGCGGTCACTTGCAAACTCTCCCAACAACACTCCTTTACCCCGTTCCGCTGAACCGGCTTCCCATTCTGTATTGGAGATCAACGCAGTAGACGATTTTGAGCCGATACCGCCCAATAAGGATGATTTCTGGATTTTTAATAATCCATTAGAAGGATAACCAATCTTCTCTAACCAGTAATTTTGGGTCTCGAAAACGGAAACACAAAAGTAAGAAAAGTTGCTTGCGATATTTTTTGCAATGTCTATAAAACAAGAAGTTAGTTGTGATGGAACAAAACTGTTGCTCATCGTACAGTCAGCTTCGATGGCTTTGTCTTGGGATTCAGAAAAAATTTCAAAGGAATCGTCTAGGAAATTTTAAATAATTTGTTCGATCTAAAAAATTTTCCATGTCATTCTTAGAATTACTGATAAATCCACTGATTTGTAGTTTCATTTACCATGATATTGACATACTAATCAAGCCACTTCAGTGATTTGTCAATATGTCAATATCAATGAATGTAGCATTGACGAGTTCATGGTTTTTGACTGATATATCTTGCTCTAGAAGTAGGAACGTGGTGGACGGCAAGTGGCACTGCTATCACAGTTACGACTTGTTGCCATAATCCCGGATTTCCTAGCTACTCAAGGCACCTTCTCCATTAGTACCATACGCTATTAAAATTTAGATTCAGTTGGATCAAATCCCGGATTGGTACTCCCCTAACCAACCATGTCTTTCATCATTGACCAATTGATGCAAGACTCGTCTAGGAGGATAAAGGCTTTGCTAAAACATCGGCTGGATATTGCTATTCATTATACAGACCAAATACGCATTCATACCGCCAGTACGTTTTTGAGTGGAAGTCAATGCGTGGCGCAGCCCCATAACACAATCGATAGAGCCACAATTCTTCCGCTATGTCTATAACCAACTATTCCATAGACCTTAATACACAGTACTGTATCCTAAAATACTATTCGCTACTTTTACTGTTATTTTTATTGTTTTCAACCTTATTTCTATGAATCTCTCTTGCAATTTTGCAACTCCACTACATAGAACATATCAGTGAGCACTGTATACTCCTATGAAGGGACCTGCTGAATAGGTCTGAGCAATTGCTTCCTTTGCCGATAACTTTTTGTCGCTATCTCTGAAAATATACTGGGTTAAATAACAAAATCATTGTTTCCAGATTTATGGATTACATAGAAAACCTGCTGGCCGCTCGTTCAGCATTTACATTTGACGAGCAAATTCGATACCTTGGCTGGGCATTACTTTTTCTTTGGATGTTTTCGATTACCTACATGACACGAGAATTTTGGTGAGTTTTTTTCTCCACGAAAAGTTTTTTTGAATCGGTTTTGTCAATTTTGAAGCCATTGCATTTTCCTACATCTAGGTTTCCAGCAGCTTTCGGGAGGTTATCTGAAAACGAACGACCACCACCAGCCAAGCGGAAACCCGACCTCAACAGCGAAACACGTTCCAATTACACAAAGTAAGAAAATTCTACTAATATAAGTATTTTCTTTCTTGATAACCCAGAGGTTCACTCTGCTTCACTCCATGGATCGTTTTTACTTGATCCTTTGCGAGAGCACTTGGGGCTTATTCGAGCCTGGGGCTCCTCGTACTTATCACGTAGTATTCTCAAATATCTCACGAAATCTTACAGCCAGAGGTACAAAAGTAGAAGTACAGGCCAAAATCTGGAGCGTTGAAGCCATCCCCCTACGCATGAACTTTCTGAGCCCTGGCATACTGTGGAATGTGGAATTTCTGAAAAAAAGGCTCGGAAATTTGGTCATCGCCTACATCACCTCCCGTACAACTTAGTTTTTTCAGCCGTACAGATATCTTAAACCCACGCCTTAACCTCTTCTTACTCTTACGCAGCTTTTCAACAAAAGCCGTCCCTATCTAGTAGTTCGATCACAGGTAGCCACTGTCCGATACAGATGCCTCACTCAGGCCCCGCCCCTTTTGCTATGCATTTTGCCTATTTACTCAGCCTTTCCACTACTTCTTTACTTCTTCACTTCGAGAAAAAATAATAAATCAGTTTTTTTCAGGCTGGAGCAAGTTATTTCTCAACTATCAGAGTGAGTTTTAACTACAACAATTTATTTTTCTTTTGTTTCCTATTCCTCAGTAGCGAATATTTAGTTCTCAGTTTGGATCATATTCTATGATAAGCTATTGCGATGATATTCAATTTCTTACAACATCTTTGATTTTTTACTCTTTTCATTTACTTCTATTTTTCTGTATTGATAACCTATTGTTTTGTCAATTTTAGTCACGATCTACGACTACTCGCTGATGTAAGTAGAAAAAAATGTGAACAGTACTTGCTGGAGAAGAGAAGATTTTCTACAAACGACTAGGATTTTTCTATCAATCTCTCCCTAGTAGGGACTATTTCTCAGGTCTTCAAACATCATACGAATTTTACTAGAAGGAAATTACTTCAGTAAGACTTCAACAAAAGAGATTCGGTGTATTTTAGTAATTCTCTCAGTGGCTTCACTACTCATGAGTCGGAAATCGGAACAAACGCCTAGATGAATTTCCACCGACAGTGGGGCAGTTTTCTCAATATATCAGAAAAAATATTTGAAAAAAAAGGGGAAAAAGTCTGAAGACTTACGATTTCATCGTGATCCGATTTCCGATTACCGATAATGCCTCCGCTAGTTTGAAACCTGAACTCTTCCAACGGGTTTCGTAATTCCTCGACTTTAAAAGGCTCTAGGTTTTACTTTCGCTGTGATAACGATTTCTACATCTTCTGTAAAGTGCCTTTTCTTTCTGCAAAATAAATATCTTTGAAAACATTCGAATGAATCACTACAGAGAATCATTGAAACCATACAGAAATGCTTCAACTGAATAAAATGTCACACTCTACAATTTTATGAGCAGAAAAATGTGAAAGTTTAGGCAGTTTCGAATCCCCTCCATAAATAGGCCATGCTTTTGGTTTCTATCCGGAATCACGCCAGCATTTGGCCCCTTAGGTGGCTCACGCAGTCCTATACAAAGGCGGCGGTGGTGTAACGCCAAACGGCCCATTTTCATACGCATAGTCTTCAGGTCAAAGCTTGCGTTATTACCCACAAAATCAGTTTAGTCTTCCATCCCTCTGGGCGTTGAATCGGTACCAGACCCATCTGAGAGAGTAAAAGTATGGAGCTTGGCA